TCTCTCTCTGTCTCGCTCTGTCTGTCTGTCTGTCTGTCTGTCTGTCTGTCTGTCTGTCTGTCTGTCTTTCTGTCTGTCTGTCTGTCTGTCTGTCTGTCTGTCTGTCTGTCTGTCTCTCTCTCTCTTTCTCTCTCTCTCTCTTTCTCTCTTGGTACATACATGTCTCTCGCCCACTCTCTCCGGATCTTGCTTTCTCTCCCTCGGTTTGTAAGAAGGATCCCATTTAATCTAGTGGCTGTACTTAGCGTGGTCTCATTCTTAGTCGTTGTCACATCCGGGTATGTCGGAAGGAGCTCACAAGTGGGGCGTGGGGAGTAGAAACAGGGGTGGGGGGAGGAAGGTTGCTTTTTTTCTCCCCACTGTAGTATGTATTTAACTTCCTCGTTTTACGCTCCTTGCACATCTGAATTAGCCTTTTGAATGTCGAATGTTCACATAATATTGTGTGGTTTGCTTCTTTTTTTCCTATCAAACGTCTATTGACCATACATCGCTTCCTTCTTTTCTTTGAGGGTTACTTTCTTGTTAGAAACATCTTTAATCCTCCGTACTAACATAATATGTGAGGCAGCGTTGTGGAATCAGGCTCTCGTCAATTGTTGGGAATGTAGAGTTATTGGTATCATCTTAAAGCTTGTTTACTTGTCTTTATACGGATGAAAAAAATATCCATTTATCTTGAATACAAGTCGAGATATTTGTGAAAGAAGGAGGTGGGGTTCACCTATTTTCAGAGGTAAAATTATATAGAAAATGGCCGCCAAAGATTAGTTATTTCTTTAGCTAAAGAGTCCGTGGTAACTAAAAATTTACATTTTTTGTATCTTTAATCAACGTTTTCCAGAAAATTCCACACAGAAACGAGTTCTTTAATGGGTATGAAAGATGTTGAGCCAAATAACATAAATTTGATAAAAATTCCCAAGCCTGCAGGAAAATGCAATTTTCTTCACTTTGATTATTTTGACGAGAGCCTGATTCCACCACGCTGCCTCACATATTGTTTTGACCTACATTACCAATGTGGGTTGTAAATGCCGTAAAACTAAAAGCAAAAGGAAAAACTAACGTTGAGTGTCGCCAGCCCTCGTTCTGGTTTCTCTTGTCTGCCCAATGTTCTGTCTCTTTTGTCATTTCTGTCTTTCCACAGTCCGGCCACATTTCACGTTCCTTGTTTCTCCCTGTGTCTGTCTCC